TTCCTACGTTGTTTTGAAATGTTGCTATGCAGTATGGAAAAGCTGCTGGGCTCCACCCTGAAGTGTTTGCTTTTCAGTGTACAGTGATTGCTGTAAACATGGTCTGTAAAATGCCTTTGGATCTCAAGGGATGAAAGGCATTAGATACATGTAATATATATTATGCCTTCAGTGACATGCTCTAACCCTTTGCTAAGAAATTTGCGCAGCTTCAATGGCAAAAGCTCATACTCACTTCTCTGCTATGAAGACATTGGGCCAGACTTCATCCACAGGATCCTTGGGGGCTTCTAGCCTGTCTTTCACCAGTGCCCTCTGCAAGTCCATCACACACGGTGTGTTGAACAGGCTGGTGTCATCAATCTTTTCCTTAACTCGGTTATACAGGTCCTCTACCAGCAGCTGCTTTGCAGATTCCAACATCCCCAGACAAACTGTATCTGCTTTGACCTCTTTTGTCTTCAGCTCTGGAATAAACTGACACCATCACTAAAAGCATGTGCAAGACTTCCTGGCATTTTTATCTTTGGAGCAACCTATGAAGGCCTATGTTCAACAGTGTTTTCATACACTCCCACATGTGGGCACATATGTACTCAGGTAGTAGCATCAAGGCAATTAGTAACAGGTTGAGTGTGGTACACTTCCCTTTCTACTCACACTAGCTATAGGCTCATTCTAATTCTACATAGAAAGCAAATTATCTAGTAGTTAAATCAAGCAACAGGCTACTAGGACTTCTGCATCACAGTCCATGACTCTGCCATACCTTGTGTGACTTTAGGACAAGTCATCAAACTTTTCTTTCTTAATGGATGTACAACAGAAAGAGTAACCTGCCTATCCTGTGGGCATTACAAGGCTTCAAGAAGGTTGGTCTGGCAGATTGAGATCCCTGGATGAAAGGGGCAAAACACATGCAACCAAAGTGTGTGTTCCTTACCCCACCTTCTTTGCCCCCTTACCTTCATTGATTATCTGTTTGGCAGCCACAGCAGAAGACAGGTGGATTGGCTCCATGAAAATACTCTCTGTGTCTGTGTCTGACATTATTGAGCACCTGCCAATCAAGGAAACATTTAAGCAAACACCTCCTCTCAACCACAGCTCTGGTACTGCAGCTCTCCTCAACCACTTCAGCATGTAACAGCAGGGAAGCCAGAGAACAGGTCTTATAGGGAGGTGAGGGAACCCCACCCGCAGGATGCAACAAACTCCATGCATCTCCTTTGCTTTTGGAGGAGACCCTTAGTCTCCGAAACATGTCTGCAAGAGGTGAGGCTGGGGGGGTTCTTGTGGGAGAAGTTCTAAAGACAGTAGTGAAAGTGTTAGTGACAACAGTAGGTTGACACCTGTAGATAGTAGAGAGAGAGCAGGAGAACAGTTGAGGGAGGGAGATCCAGTGTAGGGGAACTGCAGGGATGAGTGTGCGTGTTGGAACTGTAAGAAAGGTGCTTCCTTGGAAGGAATTATCAAAGGGCTTAGACACTTGCTGAGGTAGACTAAGGTATCTGAAGCACTTAGAAACAGACATCCTTTTCTACTCTATATTGATTCTTGAGCCCCTCTAACCACCATAGTATCTGCACATCATTCTGTTGCAGTCCAGACATAACCATCTTGATCTACTTCCTTTGCTATAATACCCTGAGTAGAAATCAGGACTACAGTATGCCATGAAAGTATACAAATCATGTCCTACCTGAAGATTGCTCAACAACAAATAATGCTACAAATTTGGCTCTTTTCAGTTAACAAATTGCCCGAAAGCACAGCTGGATTTATTTGCCAGATGGTTTAAATCAAATCAAATGGTGTCGAACTCATCCAGCCTATGGGCTGGATGAGGGGCCTGGGGCAAGTCTGTGAGTTGGATCAGGCCCATAGATTGGCTCCATATGCCAGATTCAGCCTGCATGCCTGGTCCAGTGTGGGTGCTGCATGCCCTGGACAAGCTGCATGTGCTGTTTGCAGTCTGTGCACTGGCCTTGACCCTGCATGGAGTGCATGGTGCATAGGGTTGGTTTGGGTCATGAGGTACATTCAGCACGTGGGGATGGTCTTGGGCATATGCTGTATGTGTTGTCTGTTCTGTCCTGGCTCTGCAGGCTGGGTCCAGCACACAGGTTAGTCTATAGGCCTGGTCCAGACTGGCCTTGGTTCCAGTCCAGTGCAGCTGCCACAAACAGCATGTGCGCTAGAACAAACCCTCATACCAGCTCCAGCCCTGCAGGATACATTATGCTTGGGGCCTGGATGTAGCATGGGCAGCTTCTTTGTGGCTCTGATCTGGACCTGCTCTGGATCCTGTGTGCAGTGCTTGAGGCCAGGGTCAGCATGTGCTGCATTCGGAGCAGGGCTGGTCAGAGATCCTCAGGAAGCACTGTGAGTCAATTGATAGGGCTCCATGGGCTGAATTCAGGCCATGGAGCCTATCTTTGACACTCTTGATTTAAATGAAAGCAGTGCAGTCTATGAATCTCCTACGAATTACCATGCTCTCCACATTGATTGCTTCATATTTTGAGTGCCACCTGATGCACATGGTATTGTTGCTGGTCTCTGACTGGACAGCTGGGAGACCTGGCTGCTAGTACATGGCTGCTGGTACACCCTGTGTGAATGTATATTTACATGACCCTTTTTATTCTGCACACATTCCTGCAAACAAAATTTGCTTATCTGGGTATTAGTGAGAAGTGAAATAAAGGGGCTACAGTGCAATCAAAGTGAGTTCACAGCTTCTATTTGAACATCTCTTGCCCAATATTTTTTCTAGACTAGTTACTCATCTCTAACACTGACTGCTGACCTTTTATAGTCCCTCCCCCTTTGAGTTACTAATGTACAAGTAAGTGCTAAAGATCACCAGTACCAATTTGTTTCCATGACTGAAGGAGACAGGAAATTCAAGCCTTCTATGTGAACAAAAACACTGTGCTTTATTGTTAATTAAAGCAGAAGGAGGCTTTGATTTATTTACACAGAATGCAGGGAAACATTTATTTTATGCTACATCATCAGCATGATTCCTAAACTGTTTGATTGACTGAATGGCTTTGACTCTCCATAAATGGAGGACACAACCAGCCTGAAGGGGCTCTTCTCAGTTAGATACCAGCTTGAGTCCATCTCTCATCAGCAGGGGAGATACCATATTGTTTTAGCCCAGGTGGTTTTACTTACCTGGCAGGAAAGATACCCTTCTTCTCAGCTTGAATGACTCAGTGTAGTTCAAGGGTGAAGGCCTGTTCCTTGCACTGCAAACAGGATGACCCCTGCAAGACTCTATAATGCCTCCAGTGTGAGGATCTTGGCTACACCTGGTGATGGGGGATTGATCTTAGGCTCTTACTCTAGCTTGCTCCTTCAGCCTTTTGACTAGGGTCAAGTGAGACTAGGGGTCATCTGAATGCCAAGGCCTCTGGACTTGGGGCTTGCACATAGGATGTCTGCTGTGGATTTGGGAGTATATGAAGCCTCAAACTGATGATGAGTCTTGGAGGTAGTATACTTGCTGGTGGTAGTGCCACACAGACTTGAACAATTGAGCTCTGCTCAGTTGATAGAATTTGGAACCAATCTGGCTGATTTGGCCCAAAACATGACATTAAAAAAACCTGTTCAGTGGACTATGTAAAATGAGTTGAGGCTGGGGGTCTCAGTTCCATTCATGGGACAGGTAGCCACATGATAAAAGCATCCAGAGAAATGGGTGCTAACTGGGCTCCTAGTTGTCAGTCTCAACAGGTGGATTAAGGGGTGGTCAAGCTATGCAGACTGAACTCCCTGTCAGCCTTGAAGGAGTCTCTCTGGGTTTCGGGTGAGAAGCATTAGCAGGGGCTATACAGAAGATACTCACCCATTGCTGCTGCCAGTACTGAACTTAATGGATAAACAGAACACATCAATCTATGGGGCTATCAGTACACCTAGAATACATCTGTGCTCAAATATAATATTAAAGAAAGGGATGTATTTGGTAGCCATGTTAGTCTGACACAAAAAGGAATGCAAAACTCTAGAACGCTTGGTTCAAAGATGATACCTTTTATTAGACCAATTAAGAAATCGCAAAAAAAAATTAAAAGATAATTTTTTTGCGATTTCTTAGTTGGCCTAATAACAGGTATCATCTCTGAACCAAGTGTTCTAGAGTTTGCATTAACAAAAGGTTCCCACCATGAAGGATAACATTTCTGGAAAGCCTGTTCTGCCCTACCCGACACTAGCCCCAGGGCACAGCGTTGCACTGGGGTTAAATAGCTAACTCTGCCGGTTTGCTCTGCTCTGCTGGGAATCAGTGAATATTTCAGTTTCACCCGCTAGAGGGCTCAGATGTCTCAGGATTCTGCACACACCACTCTGGCGGCTAGCTGCATTAATTAAATTGGTTCCCATAGTAACTGGGCAATGGAGGTTAGCTGGGCAGCAGCTTCCAAACCCAGGAACAGCTGGGGAAGCTGGAGTAGAAGGGAAGGACTGTGCAGTATGATGGGCAGGTGCAGGCAGCACTACAGAGCTCACAGTTCAGCTGAGACAGGGTTAGAGGAATGGGGAAAGAGGTAGAGGTGGCAATTTTGCCCTATTATTGTAAAGGAATAAACTCATTCCCTTCCCTCTCCCCTCAGTTCAAGACTGCCTGAGTAGATTTTCCACACACCCTCTCCCTAAAGCCCTCTCCACCCTGACATCAGTATGTGATATCCTGGTCTAAATTGACATTAGTGGAGAGTCATGGTGAGCAACTCAAACTGGGGAATTGAGGGACCTCTGGTCCTGATACCTACACTCTGTAGGGGAGGACATGAAACAGGGCAGAGAACCCCATAAGGCCTACAAAAGTGAGGTCTGTAGGGAGCACCTAAAATCTAAGTGTGATTCGCTGGGCTGGGACGGATAGATGGTAGGTCAGCAGTTCCTGAGCTGTGGGTCACGACCCCAAATTGGGTTGCAACATGGATTTGCAGTGCGGTGCTCTCTCCTGCACCAGGTCCTGCCCGCTGGGCTGCCGAGGCCCAGGGGAAGGGAAGCAGGGCTGGGAGCCCCAAGCCCATAGTAGGCAGCCCGCATCCTTCCCCTTACCTGCCATGGGCTATGCTTTGGCCATGCTGCCCAGGGAGGGGACAGGGGCAGGGATCCAGGCTTTGCACTCTGGCCTCATCAGCTGCTGCTTCCTGCAGGCGGCAGCCAGGACTCAGGTGCTGCTGGGGTCGGGCAACAGGGGGCTGCGGGCCCTGGGTCACCTGGGGAGAGTGGGGAGCTGTGGATTGGGAGAGAGGGGCACCGGCAGGGCCAGGGGGCTGTGTGTCGGGAGTGAGGGGCACCTGAGAGGGTGGGGGGCTGCGAGCTGGGAGTGAAGGGCCATGCTGAGGAAATGGGATCATAAATGGGGTCATGCTGAGGACAAGTTTGGGAAGTGCAGTGGTAGATGCTCGCAGATACTGGACGATGCCTCTGTGCAACTGGGCTTTCCTGAGGAAATCCACATGTTTAGCAACATACCCAGGCCTATAGATTTTGTCAAAGAAGAGCTGGGACCACTGTTGGAACCGCAGCCCCTGGCAGCATCTCTAAAGTGAGGTGTGCTGCTAGGGAGGGGGAAGGAGGCACTCACAGACCAGTCTCAAGGGCTGGCTCTCTAGGATTATAGGCTTGGCTCTGGACAGACTTCTCAGTGTATAATGGGCCATGAAGATTAAATTCCTCTCACCCTCTGGGACAACTTCTTAAGGACAGGACTGAGGCACACTAGCAGGGGATGCCATGCAGGGAGTTTTTGGTGGGCAGGATTCTCTGGTATCACTAAGCCCATCCTTTCCTCTGTGCTAGGCACCACTCCTCCTGCTGGTGGAAAAGATGTGCTTTGAACTCTGCAAGTTACTGCTAATACTGTTTGGGGCCTACGGTGAATATGGTTTTCCCTCCCTGTGGCATGCACTCAGGCAGGCTGCAACGAATGCTGATTTGGGGGGACAGGGATGCTCCTGAGCTGTTGCAGGTGGCCCTCAGGCATTTCTCTATGGGGCTTCTAGAATAACTACAATGTCCATACCAGTTCTTCCTATAGCTGCTGCCCCGTCCATGATTGCCTGCTGGTGATGAAGGGAGCAGGAGTGGTGTAGGGAAAGATGCTAGTAAGGCACATGGGCGCAGAACACCCATTTATGGGCCCTGATCCTGGAAGGACAACGTGTGAGCTCCTCCCTAGATCCCCTGTGAATGGAAGTGACCCAAATGTTAATTATGTTTGGCATTGGCAGCAGAACAGGTGAGGGAGGCTGTTCTATTCATGCTGAATGGCTGAGCAGGTGAGGAGGAGGAGAACAAGGAGGAGAAGGAGGCTGCAGTTAACTGAGATTAGGACATGATCATATTGAACACATGCCCAGAGAATTGTATGGGTAAATTTTAATGAACACAGTAAAACAGAGCAAACAGGCCAGCTGCAGCTGCTAGCAAAGCCCCAGAGTTGAGGCTGCCAGTGGAAACCATTTACTATGTCCCCATTTGCATGTGGCCTCATTTCCCAAAATATCTCTTTCTGAGAAGAATCCTTCCAGACTGGATCCCCATTTCCTGCCTGACCCAAATAAAGCATTTAACACCATATGGGGAGTCCAGTCAGGCATGCTGGATTAGAAAAGCAGCACGAAAGAACACATTTTTGCCATTGTAAGAAAAAGAATCTAATCATGCTAGTTTTGTTTGAGGTACCTCAAACATGGCAAAAGCTCATCTTCTGCCAGCTTAGGGGCACCCTTCTGCCTCACACCCAGCCCTCCGGTGAGAGGTCAGCCTGAGCCAGAACCCAAATCCAAAGAGCCTCGCTGCCTGGGGACAAGGGGGTTGTTAATCTGCGCCTGGGTCTCGCAGGTCCGTATAACAGGCTGAATCAAAACAGTCGACTGGAACATATCTGGACTCAGGGGAGATGTGAAATACTCATCTGAATTCTGCAGCTTAGCTGGCAGAGGGATCGCATAGGGAGCGGACAACCAGTAATCCTTCCCCCCCGGCCCCCCATAGTGCTTTCTGGAATGTGTACGTAGGTGGGGTGTGTGGGAGAAATCTCAGCTGAATGAATGGGATAAATAACGTACAAGCTCCATCCCCACAGGCTCTCCCCTCACTCACGTGTGGGCTATGTTGGCGTTTCAGGCAACTGCTTCACAGAGCAGAGGGAAGCCCTAGGCCATATTCAGGATCTGAGCAGATGCACATGCATGGCGTGGTGGTGGGAGAGGAGGAAAAGGAAGCAATTCATTATGTGCAGTCAGGAGGCCACAGCGGTCCCCTGTGTAAGTGAGCTTACCGACTCGGGGAGGGGCTGCGGAGATAGCGGGCCTGTACTGCCTTCACATCTGGTCTATCCTCTTCATCTGGTACCACTTGCTCACTGTCTGAGTCCCTGCTGCTTGCCATAGCAGCTGTTGGGGTCTGCTGGAGCTGGAGAAAGGGAAGGGAGGAGGAGTAAGAATATACCACAGACAGCACAGCACTTAGGGAAACCCTTTCAGGCTGGGTAGGCAGGGAGCACGTCATTCCTGATACCAAGCTGTGACATGGCAGTGACACAGCACCTCTGCGCTTGAGGCCAGGGTTATAGAAGAAACAATGACCCCTTCCTGGCAGGGTAGGGGAATATGAACTCTCCAAGAAGTGTTTTTTCATGAGCCCACAACACATGCTGATGCCTGGTAACAGTGGGTGCGAAGCTGCTATTATTTGGCTAGGAACCTGGAGAGGCTGCCACCAGTTCCTCCAGCATCCAGCATAGGGTGTGGCTCAGGGAGAGCCTGTCTCTTCCAGTCCATGAGTAACCAGGCACAGAGGCTAGCAACGAGGATGGGGGTGGTTATGAAGAAATCCTATCTCCATCTTGCCAGCTCAGTTCTGTTAATAGGCTCCAGGGGGAGCCACATCCAGCCAAAAAGGGGACTTTGAGGTCAGTGGGGTAGAGAATAAGAGACCTCTCTTCCCCAAATTGACACGCTTCAAAAGGATCAAGCTGAAACACTTGATTCCAGCCACCCTTAAACCCCACAAGCACAAGACGTCTTTGTCGGGGGACCACAGTACCAGGGCATGGCGAGTGGGTGGAGGGGGTGGTATTATTAGTTGGGTTAGGAACCTGGAGAAGCAGCGGCCAGTTCCTCAGGCCTCACGCAGAGCAACTCTTGGCTCTCGCTCAGGGAACGTCTGTCCCATTCCAGCCCACGAAGGCTCTGAAATCCCCCAGCAGCTGGTCTCAGGCATCAGAAAGACAGGCGTGTCCTGTAAACAGGGGGCTGAAGAGCTTTGACTGTTCATGGATCCAATGAGAGGGGAAGCAAACATGCAAGGAAAAGGCACTTACCATCAGCGCCCAGATCTGTCCCGTCCGAGGTACAGTGAGGAAGCCCAGTGAATGGGGCAGGAAACTTGGCCAGGCACTTGGCTAGAGCGAGAGATCAGCCACCCTCTTCTCTCTCTGTGGCTCCTTCTGGAAGGGGCAGGGCAACTGTCAGCACCAAATCTTTATCAGCTTTCTAAATATAGTGTGTGTCCCACACTGGCTGCTGGGTCGCATGGGGAAGGAATTCAGTGCCTCATAGGCAGCACATGGTCAAGCTGTTAACTCCTTCCCTACTGTGGGCTGGATCCCTGGGTATTTTTCTGCTGGGATGTTTCTGTTGCAGGAGGAGTTTGGAGAACTGTCCAGAGTACTTCTGAACTTCCACCTGCAGGGAGTTCCCCTGCTAACCAAGATTCGATCTAGACTCCTTGGCATCCTCCATACCCTTGCTGCAGGAGGGTCAATGATAACGTGCTGCACGCCAGCTAGAAGCTCTGTGATCTTGGGATGTCTCCCTCACTACTAGGTGCAACGCAGCGTCCTGTTTCCTGCTTAACCAGAAGCCTCTGTCTCCAGTCTGCTGTCTTCCCTGGAAGCATACACACCAGTACTAGGCATATTGCCTAGTGTGTCCCTGAAACCTCTACATCCTCAGCTATCAGAGCAGAGCATCCCAAGGCAGAACAGCCCCACGGAGAAAAATTCTGAGCATAGTGGGCAGCATCAGATTTTGCTGAAGAAATATATTTATGGAAAGCAAAATTTTCTGTATCCGGAAACAATGCTGGAGGGTCATGTGAGCAAGCCAGTGGTTGAGGACCATTGGCAATGGGCACCATTGGCTTGTTCTTACGATTGCAGTTCCTGGAGTCATGTTAATATAGCACATGCAAGGATTTTATATATCAAAAAAAAGTTCTTGGTGTTGCCAGGAAAACCTTGAACTTGGAGCCAAAATGAAATTCCTGTATAAATGTTGGCCTGAGTCTGCTGAGCATTTGAAACAATAGCTCAAGGAAAGGTAACTGTCCCATGAATCTTAACTTTAAACTATTTTTCCACAGAGACTCCGGCAGCACCCAATATCATCCGCTAAGGGACTGCATGCAGCAGGGAGAAAAGAGTGCAGAAGGAAAAACGCTGGCCCACACTTGAAAGCAGATATTTCCTGTAGCTGAGGTAAGTCCTAGGGGGACCCTGGTGCCATCTCTGCTTCTCTAGGGAGAGAGAGGAGTTCTGCTGCTCCCAAGGGGAGAGGGGGGCCCATTTGTCACTGCTGGAGGATGGTAAAGAAGGACTGCATGCTGTTTGCCCTCCTTCCCTGTGCACTGCAACTATACCCCGTCCAGGCTTCACAAGCTGGAACTGTCATAGGAAGGGTCCTATGACTTGTTTAACATAGTGCTGACTCTGGTTGGGATTTTCAAGAGTGCCTAAGTAACTGAGGGGCACAAGTTCTAATGAAAGACCATAGTATTTGTGCTTCTGAGCACAGTACGGCTATCAGGTACAGCCAGCGCTAGCTGCTGCCTTATGATGGAAAAGGATTCAGAAGTACCAGGTGTGAAAGAACTACTCCTAGTTGGTCACAGGGCTGCTTGTACATGCTACGGGGTTTACTTCGGTTTAATTCTCCCTAAATTGAAGTGGTGGGTTTTTAAAAACCCTGCTTCAATTTAACCTAAGTAAACCCCATGGTGTGTGCACAAGGGTCGAGCCCGATCCTTACCTGCCTCTCCGGTGTGGGGGGCGCAAGCTGCCGGTGGGCCGAGTGGTCCCTGAGCTAAAGGGTGGGGTGGAAACCAGTGCTTCCCTCCATGGTGGCGGTGGTGTCCCCTAGGTGACACCTGCCCACAGGCACCTGGCCAAGGCAGTTCCACGGGGCACCGTAGCTGCAGAGGGAAGCACTGGGCCCCCATGCAGCTCAGGCAGGCAGGCTTCAGGGAGAAAAAAAAGATCAAGTTCACTGCTCTTTTTTTTTTTTCCAGTGGAGCCTGCCTGCACAGGCTGCTGCCGGGCTGCCTGTACAGCTCCCGAGTTGCATGAGGCCTGATGCTTCCCTCCATGCTGTAAGGTAGCAAATTAAAACACCTCAGACATTTAATGCACAATATGCTGCCAACAGTGTAAAAAGCCACACCATTAAAGTGCATTACGCCGCCGACAGCGTAAACAGCTGCACCATTAAAGTGGTGCAAAAGGGCATTTAAGTCGCTTTAAAGGCCAATTTTGTGGTGTGTACAAAAGCCCAGAGTTCCTTCTCGGGATTTCTGGGACTTAGTTCTAGGAGGCTGACGGGCAATAATGTGCAAACCACATGTTTTTCTTTTCTATATTCATTAACTAAATAAATAAGCAGAAACTTGAAATAGAGTACATTTAAATAAACAAGTACATGGCTTGCTGTCAAACTTCTCGTGATCAGGTTGATTAAACCCTTTCAAATAAATGGACAATGTCTCATAAGCTCTATCTAGTACTTTTGGAAAATGGTCTCATTAGCTATCAGCCCGCAAAGTAACAGGTCATTGTCAGTCTCCGTGCCAAATGATGTATTTAGAATCCAGCTGAATGGCTGATACAGGAGGGTAAAATTACTCCCAGGTGGAAGCTAATGTTGAGACTGCAGCCAATTAAGGCAGCCTGCCCAGGTTCTGGATCACTAGGTAACAGCCAAGCTCTTTGCCCCTCCCCCAACACAGAAAGGTTTCAGTCCATTTCAAAATGACACAGCGTGTTCCCTTTAGAATACAAACAACAAATGTAGCTGGAAAATAACATGATTTTTCAGGATTAAACATATACCTCTTAACGCATGAAATACACACATGTGATCTTGTAGACAGCAATGTTACTAACCCATAGATGTTTCAACTACTTGACAATCTATTCAAGGGGTGCTATTTGCACATCCATTCTCTGGAGATTGTGCCCACACTTATACTCACTCCCAGCCATTACTACAGTGAAAAAAACAAGCACACAATTCTAAAGATAGAAATGTTCCTCTCCTAGCAAAAATTGGACAAGAAAACCAAACCAAGAAGGTTGATGCTTGTGCAGGATGTTGGCCGATGCTCTTGTGGATTCATTTAGCTTCAGGAATTAATGCAGCCATTGCAAGAGCAAGTGGGGTTTTTAAGCCAGCAGCCAGAAGGCAGCGAGCAAGGAATGTTTCTGTCAGTTTTTGAAGATAATTGCCTGACTGATTTGTCCTCACTGAAACTTCTCATGAGTGTTTGGCACATCAGAATGAGCATTTACCTTCAGAGGTCACTGGCATGATGCAAAGGGGGTTGACTAGTTACTTTTATGAAAACAAAAAAAAACCTTACTATTCCAGTAAGTTCAGGTTTGGAAAATTTACTGATCTAAATGTGTACATCCAGTCAGTCAGAAAGTCTGTAGGCATTTGGAGATATTGGATGCTATGGATCAGTCCCAGACATCATACCAATTATCCTTCAAGAGTCTTGACTCAAAATAATTACAAATTGCAGTGCAATTGAAATGATAGGAAAATAAGACTGCATAATCATGCAGCCATGTTCATATTATACAGATACATGTAGCTTTCTCTTCTGTCTCTCAGTACTCAGCAAGTCAGTTTTCAACAGCATTTTTGGTGCCCAAAATTTAGATAAAAGTTCAGGCTTTAGTTTCAGTCACAGGTTATTTATTAATGGTTATTGTTGAAGTGACTATGTAGCCTGAAAGGGGTTAGTTACTTCCCAGAATAGCAACACTAAAGCCACAGTACTGTACTTTTGTGGGACTGGAGTGTCAGGGGTAAGTGTATTGACTGCAGAAGGGGAAACAAGGATAGTTGCAGGGGAAGAAGTTAGATTAAAATACAGAGAGGATGGAGACTTCCTAAAAAGACAGCATTGTGTGGGGGCCTTCAAAGTACAGCAGTGGACCCCAAATTAAAGTAGCTGCAGCAGAGTTTAGGGAGAGTGGGGCATGGGTGGGCAGTATAAGCTGTGGTTTCTCCAGAAATCAGTTCACACAGTATAATGATCAAGAAACATTTTTTTTGCTATTACCACATCCTTTACCACACTTTTACAGACAGCCCATACCTTTTCTGTCCAGAACTGTTTATAGTCTAACTTTGACACTAGTCAAGGGTGCAGGGCAGAAAAATTGAGGATGGGCTTTTAGTGAGGAGGAGGTTGCAAAGGAGACCCCAGAAGAAGTAGGTTTGACAGGGGTACTTGAAGAAAATCAGTGCTTGGTTGCCTAGAAGAGAGAGAATTTTAGGCACAAGGGGCAGCAAGATTTAAGATATAAATCTGAGTTGAAGAAAGCTATCCTTCCTATCATAGAAGAATTAGGTAGCAGAAGGAGAAGAGTTTGGGGCTGGAGAAAGAAATAGAGTTTCTTATTGGGTATTGTCAATTTTAAAGGCACTCAGCAGTGTGGGAGCATGAAAAGAGTCTAGAAAATCTGGGAGAGAGGCAAGGAAAGGGCAGCACCATGTGAGAGAGGAGTGGAAGTATCAAGAGTACAATGACGACTTGCAAGTAGAAACCAGGCTGTCAGCAGAAGTGAGCAACAGTAAAGGACAGGGCTAATGGCAGTAGAGAAACCAGATGGACTCATGGACTGACGGTCAAGAAAAGAGGATGGCAGGACCCAGGGATTAAACAGAGCTAAAGAAGTAGAAGTGATGATCAAAAAAGATTTCAGGGAGAGAGACTGGCAGGACAGTGGTGTCTAGTAAAAAACTGTTTAAGAGAGTGTTTAACCCATTCTGGGTTGGAGAGCAGAAAGCATTCACCAAATCATAGCAACGCTTCAGGACAGGCAGACAAATTCCAGAACAAACAGGTGCCAGGGGAAATTTAAGCCAGCAGACTGTGGCTACCACAGCTGGAACAGCATAAGGATGCCTAGGTAACAGCTAATCTTGAGAAAAAATGTTTGGGGATCTTTAATGATCACAAGCAGTGAGGGTATCACTTTGGTCATCTTCCCTGAAGGTAAGCACCACCTCCTATTGCACAGAGCCCCCTTACCCAGTGCTAGACATGAGAACCAAGCTCTAATTGGAGGAGGCTGGGCAGACTTTTAGGCTTCTGGCTGGTATATACCTGAGTGCTTAAAGGTTTAGGACTCATGTTGCTTCCTGAAAAGAAAATGCGACTCAGTGGGAGT